ATTACCTACAGTTTTATGGGTTCTAAACTAATCAAGGGGTAGTGTCTGTTAAAAGAGAGTTACAGGCAGAGGCTCCGGAATGGAACCCCAGAGGCCTATAAACCCAAATGGGGGTTTTATGCTAGGGGTACTGTTGATGGACAAAATTCTGCATGACCCAAATATAGTATAGTACCATAAATCCCATAGTTTAGGTATATAGGGTCATGCAGGATTTTGTCCATCAACCGTAGGGTTTCTGTCGGCCTCTACGGGCTTCAGCGCTGCCTTGCCCCAATATCCGCGCGCTCTGCAAGACGGGCGAAGCCCTCGCCATGAGCCTTAAGCCCGAAGGAAAGCCCTTTGCCCGAAGTCGTAGACCCTTAAACCCTCAAGCTCTAAACCATGAACCCCCAATTTGTGAAGTCGAAACTGCCCCTGGGTCTAGACATTTTCAGCCTCAAGGTGCAGATACATATGCTCACCAAATCCCACAGGTGTCATCAACCTGGAGCTGCTACCCTCCTAAATCCAAGCACGTTTTTGTGGGGTACTTTGACCTCTCGAACGTCCTGATGGAACCTAACATCCTACACAACGACCCCTAGGGCAAAGCCTCAAAAACTTCTCCACTATCACTAGGCTTCTGAGTAGACCCTTTATAAAAAGGGCACCCTTGTTCCTTCTGTTCGGTTTCAATAAGGGGACCCCAAAATAAAAAGGGCAAAACTACTCAGGAGCCCAATACCCCTTAATTAAGGAATATACCTTAAATCAGAATTTTAAGGACCCTATAATCTAAGGTATATTCCTTAATTAAGGGGTATTGGGTTCTCTGGGCTACTCAGGAGCCTAGATCAGAGAGCGACGGACCGTTTCCCTCATCTCCTTTAGCCTGAGCGTCGCTTCGGTTCCTAAGCCTTGGTCCCTGCGGATCGCCCGGACCCTAAACCCTAAACCCTACACCCTCAACCCTAAAGCCTAAACCCTAAAACCTAAACCCTAAACCCAAAAACCCAAAAACCCAAAAACCTAAACCCTAAACCCCAAACCCTGAACCCCTGAACCCTAAACCCTAAACCCCAAAAACCCTAACGTCTCGTGGGCGGAATGAGCTGGAGCCGTGCGCAGGGCGAGGCCAAAGCATCGGAGGCAGAGAGCCCAATACCCCTTAATTCAGGAATATACCTTAAAATCATAACCTTAAGGCCCCTAGTATTTAAGGTATACTCCTTATTCATAAGGAATATACTCTAGATCATAGTATTAAGGCCCCTATAATTTAAGGCATATTCCTTATTTAAGGGGTATTGGGTTCTCTGGGGACCCTCACGCGCGTCGTGATCAACCCGCTTCGCGGGAATTCCATCCACCGATCGCTGCAGCTCTTGGAAGCCACCGCGTCCTAAACCCTAAACCCTACACCCCAAACCCTAAACCCTACACCCCAAACCCTAAACCCTACGCCCCAAACCCTAAACCCTAAACCCCAAACCCTAAACCCTAAACCCCAAACCCTAAACCCTAAACCCTAAACCCCAATCCCTGTCTGTGCGCCTTGATCAGAGTCTTCGGACGATAGAAGCGAACCTTCGTCCGGATCTTCTTCGCCTGGACATGCCAAGAATCCTTCAACACCGTACTCCCAAAGGGTCCAAGAAGTCATATGGTAGCCACTTTGTAGGTATTTGGGCCCCAAAAGTATATACCATACTATACTACTTGGACCCTTTGAGACTGCGAGGATCCATGGCCCCTTAGGTGCCTATAAATCCCTTACAAAGCTTCTCGGAACTCGTATAGAGCCACTGTGTTCCCTTTAAATTTAGCTGCCTTTAGCTTGGTTTAGGGTTTAGGGTTATTAAAGACTGGGCTCTTGGGTTTAGGGTTTAGGGTTATTAAAGACTGGGCTCTTGGGTTTAGGGTTTAAGGTTCTTAAAGACTGGGCTCTTGGGTTTAGGGTTTAGGGTTTACGGTTTTAACATAGTTTCACTTAAGTTACCCCATGGTTTTAAAGTTCCTGCAAAAGGGCTTCTATTACGGTTTAGGGCTTAGGAGTTGGTCTTTTAATTACCAGAATAGAAATGTATAATCACTATCCTGGTTTCCTTATCATGGTAACTTAACTTTAAGTAACTTAACTTTACCTCTTTAACAAGAACCCAGTGGAAAGATATACCCCAAAACTCACAGCAGGCCTCCCTAAGGGTGTATCGGGATTACAAACTCCTATAGATAGGTCTTAGGGTTACGGAGTGTCATCGCGATTGTGTGTTTGGGTCATACGCTAAAACCCTTCAAGACCCAAACCCCCTTAACGCCACCAATACCTTCGGGAAGGGCGTCCAACACTACCCGACTACCTGCACCAAAGTATGCCAAAGCATCCCAGTACATGCAAAGCTTGTTAAATACCACCACCTCTTTTAGTAAGTATCGAGCGCTCATCATAGTATACAGCATTACGGGCCCAGCTGCACATTGAGTGGGTTACTACTACTTGAAGCCTACATAAGGCTTGTCGTACCCGTTCGGCTCTGACGGAAATAGCAAAGATTACGGACGAAGCTTCGAGCAAGTCTAGGTGATGATTTGGAGGTTTGGTATATCCACAAACCCTGCAACCATCTGAAGTTCCAAATTTTCCCTAGAAGTCAGTCCAGCCACAGCTAACTATGTCATATGCAGTGCATGCTACGGCAATCGGGCTCCTCAGGACTGCTCGGACATCCTAAACCTTAAACCCTAAAACCCCTAAACCCTAAAACCCCTAAACCCCTAAACCCTAAACCCTAAGCCCTAAACTGCAAACACAAGAGGCCGACCGGAAACCTTTAAACAACCTCCATAATTCTCACAGAACCCTTCGAAAAGGACCCTGAAAGGAATCAAGGAACAAAACAAGACCTAAAGGAACCCTTGAAGGGCATCCGAAACCCTTAAACCTCTGCAGATCCTTAACCTAAATCTTGAACCCTACACCCTAAACCCTCAAATCCCCAAACCCTAAACCCTAAACCCTAAACCCTAAAATCCCCAAACCCTAAACCCTAAACCCTAAACCCTAAAATCCCCAAACCCTAACCCTAAACTTGAACCCTTAAAGGGCAACCGGAAACTCGGAGCCGAGAGCCTTGGAGCTGATGGTGCCTTTCACGGCCTTGGCGGCCTCTGCGCCAGGAAGCGCGGGGGTTCTTTCAGGGGTTTAGGGAATTTCTACAGGGTCTGTCTTAGGAGTTAGGGTTTGGGGGATATTATAGGGGTTTAGGGATTTCTACAGGGTGTCTTAGGATTTAGGGTTTAGGGGATATTATAGGGGTTTAGGGTGCAGGGTGAGGCCTTACAAAGTTTCTGTACATTACATTACATTACATTACAATACATTACATTACATTACATTACATTACATTACATTACATTACATTACATTACATTACATTACATTACATTACATTGCACTACACTACATTACATCACGTCACATCACATCACATTGCAGTGAATTGAATTGCATTACATTACAATTACAATTACATACATACATACATACATACATACATACATACATACATACATACATGCACACATACACACACACATACATAC